TCACTTCAGAGATGGTGCTTTTAGGTAATCTTTGGTATCCTTGGCTTGTGAAGGCATCACCGTGGTCCCCATCTTCATCTGCCCATGACATTTTCTCTGAGCCCAAATTTCCCTTTCTTATATGAACACCTCTTCTATTGGATCAGGGCCTATGCTAGAGATTGAATTTTAACTTGATTCCCTCTGTAAAGATCCTGCATCCAAATAAGGTCGCGTTCTGACACAAGGGGCTTTGGGACTTGGACGCAGCTCTTTTGTATGTCAGAGGAAGGACAACTGTTTCTATACTCAGCCCTTTAGTCTAAATCTTCTGATAAATTCCCCTGGAATTTTCTTGGTTTTTTTTTTTTTTTTTTTTTTTTTTTTAACTTTTTTTTAAAATTTTATTTATTTATTTGTGTGTGTGTGTGTGGCCAGCTCAGCCCGCCAAGGGGCAGGGCTGGCTGGCATGTGGTGCTGGGGGATTGAACCACGGTCCCTGTGCTTTGCTAAGCTTGTTCTAAGTAGGTGCTTTAGACCACTGAGCCATCTCACCAGCCCCTCCCCTGGAATTTTCAATAACCTATCTCAGCAGCAAGGCTCTGGGCTCTTGTGAGACCTCACTCGCCACCTCCCCCCCACCTCTCTGCAGTGCTCCTGGGGTAGGCAGAGTTGAGCAATGTAGCAGCTGCCATCTTTCCCAAGGGGCTCCCCCAGAGGCCCTCATCCAGGACTGGTGTCTGGGGAGGGCAAGGTAACTCCCAGGAGGGACAGGAACCAACTGACATGCTGCTTGCCCCTGTACAGGATTCAAAATTACAAGGTAAGGGAATATGATAATCATAGCCGAAATTAGTTTCAAGAATTCCCAAGCTACCAGTTGAGATGAGTTCTAAGAGTGGTATTGTGGACAGCATTTATCTCATCTGAAGGGTTTGACAGCACCTAAGGAGATAAACACGGGGAAGATGGACTGCAAGAAGCATGGGGCTGAATGCAAAGCAGTTGTGCCTGCTCCGGCCACTGGGAAAAGGCAACTTAGTGTTTAGCTCCAATTTCCTTGGTGGATAACACTGTGCTGTTGCACACGTGTCCCAGTGCCAAACCCGGCATCCCTGGGCTGTGGAGGAGGTGCTTTCTCTACCCTGTAAGGAAAAACAGGTGCATGGAAGGAAAGGGGCCCGAGAACAGAGACTTCTCAGTCCCTGGGACTAAAGCATGAAGTCCTGAGTTGCCATTTGGGAACAGGGCCAATAGATGCAGATCATTTGCTTTTTCAAGATAAGCTGTGAATCTGGAATTTTATTAGTACAAAATTATTAATTTTTAAAATTCAGGCCAGTAACTCAGTGTTTTCATTTTGTTTGTTTACTGTTTTAAGACTGGATAGGCCACAGAACATATATTGATAAGCCAAATTTATTCCTTGCACTAAACTTTGGAAGTCCTGTTCAAGAACAATCTTTGTTTGAAAGTATTAAAATTTAATGTATTTTTTAAAAATTGATGTATTTTAACTAAAAAAAAAAAAAGAAATCAGCTGCATAGCTATTATTACCCAGTTGTTGAAATCTGTATATTAACAGACCCTATATCCATCCATTGACCCTTGACAATCTGATCATAAAATATCTAGCAGCACACCAGAGGACTACCTGGGTCTCCACAGTATCTTCCAGACCTATGTCTCCTCTGCTTCGTCCTCTACTCTTGTTGAGGTGGTTCTCAGGGATAGTAGAAATGAGCCTTTTGTCATGATTGCTCTATCAAGAGTATAATTATCATAACAAGGATCATAATAGTTTCCAATGACTGTCTTGTAAATAGTATGCACTGTATGTGACTATTGTCTTCCATAATCCTTGTAGCAATCTTGAAAGGTGGGTAGTAATTTCTCTTAATGTCCAGACAAGGAAGTTGATCATTCATCACTGAATCATACAGAATTAATAACAGTAACAGACTGGGGATTTTAAGCTATTTATCACTGGTATTATAGTTTATA